TTTAATGACTTTGTTGGTCATTTGTACATCATCTTTGGAGAAATGTCTAGTCAAGGTTTAGCCCATTCTTCAATTGTGTTATTTGGGTGTGTTATGTTGTCTTGTATGCGTTTGTAATGTCTTTCTCTTCTCTTTTCTTTAGTTTTTGTTTGTTTCGTTAATCCTCACCCAAAGATATTTTTTTCATTGAATTTAGAGAGAGTGGAAGAGAGGGAAGGAAGTGGAGGGAGAGAGAGACTTCCAGCTTCCAGGTCTTGGAGCCATAAATCCCTGCTCTTTATAAGCCTCCAGTCCATGGTCTTTTGTTAAAATATCCGAAAAAGTCTAAGACATATGACCTTTTATTTCAAATATATTTTTGTTGATTTCAGAGAGGAAGGGAGAAGGAGAGGGAAATGGAAATATCAGTGATGAGAGAGAATTATTGATCTGCCTCCTCCTGCTGGCCCCACACTCAGGATGGATCCTGCAACCAGGAATGGAAGGTGATCTCATGGATCATAGGTTGACACTCAGCCACTGAGCCAGGCCAGCTGGCCATGACCTTTTTTAATGCTATTATCCATCAATGGACATTTGGGTTGCTGGCTGACACCTTTTGACTAATGTGAATAATGCTGCTGTAGATATAGGAGTGCAGGTATCTTTTTGAGGTCCTGCTTTCAGTTCTTTTGGATATACACTAAGTACCCAGATTATTATGACCATTCCATCAGTACAATGAAGTGAATTATTTATGCAAATAATAATAATAATAATAATAATAATAATAAAAAACCTTGAGAGTATTTGCTTAGGAAATTTTCAATATTCAGTATTTTTGTAAGTCTTAATGAAGTACTGATGGGGTGGTCATAATAATCTGGCCGGTCATAATAATCTGGCCACTCAGTGTATAACCTCAAGAGGGGATGTTACATGTCATGGTAGTTCTATTTTTAATTTTTGGAGGAACTGCCATATTGTGTCCATAGCCAGTACACCCTCTGACAATCCCACCAAATGTGCTGAACGGTTTCCATTTTGGAACACGCTCACCAACACTTGTTATTTTCTGTGGTTTCAATTCACAGTGGCCATCCTAAAGGGTGTGAGGTGATCTCTCATTATAGTTTTCATTTACGCATTCATTGGCTGATTGTTGTATGTGCCCCAACCAGGATGGAACCAGCAAACTGGGTGTATCAGGAAGTCACTCACCAACTGAGCCACCCAGCCAGGGCTTTCATTTGTAGTTCTGTCATCTTACTGATGTTGCGTCTCTCTTCATGACATAGTTGGCCATTTGTACATCATCTTTGGAGAAATGTCTATTCAAGGTTTTAGTCTTTTCTTCAATTGTGTTACTTGGGTTTCTTATGTTGTCTTGTGTGAGTTTGTAATACATGCTGGATATTAACTCCTGCACACATACAGTGTCTCTCCCATCCTGTAGGTGGCCTCTGGAGTCTAATGAGAGTGTCCTTTTGTGCTCAGGGTTTGAAGTTGGTACATCCCACTTGTCTATGTTTGCTTTCCTTGTCTGTGACTTTGATGGAAATATGCAGGAATTCGTTGCAGAATCCAACGTCACGGGCTTTCCCCCGATGTTTCCCTATAAGAGTTTTATGGTTGTCTGTATTAAATTTAGGTCTTTAATCTATTTTGAGTTAATTTCTGTGTAGAGGAAAGTGGTTCTGTGATGGAAACCTAGAACTGCATGGAAGAAACAAAACTGTGAGGGGTATTTTTCAAAATAGTCATTGTTTACCTGCAGTGTGTTCTCACAGTGGGGTCTAAACACACTGAGCTCACAGAAAGAGAGGAGAACGGTGATGCAGGGGCTGGGGGTGGGGAAATGGGGAGATGTTGGTCAAGGGTAACTTTCACCTACAAGATGAATAATTCCTGGGGATGTACTGGACAGCATGATGTCTATAATTAACAGGATTGTATTCTACCCCTGAAAGTTGTTATGGTTATACATCGTTCGTATTAAAATCATAACAAGGATAATTAGGAGAGTATGGAAATGTTATGCTTGCATGCATTCTGTTTAAAAAATATCTCGCCCTGACAGGTTTGGCTTAGTGGCTAGAGCGTCAGCCTGTGGACTGAAGAGTCCCAGGTTCGATTCCGGTCAAGGGCATGTACCTTGGTTGTGGGCTCATCCCCAGTGGGGGGTGTGCAGGAGGCAGCTGATCCATGTTTCTCTCACATCGATGTTTCTAACTCTCTATCCCTTCCCCTTCCTCTCTGTAAAAAATCAATAAAATATATTTTTTAAAAATATCTCAATAAATCTGGAAAAAAAATAATTGTTTACATCCAAGTAATTATTAATGTTCTATAAAGTTTATCAAATTGATAGATGTAAGATATATGATCGTAATAATACAAAATGGTGAGAGCAAGTGTCTTAAATATTGAATTTTTTATTATTCATTAATAGATATAGCCTGGCCCATGTGGCTCAGAAGTTGAGTGCCGGCCTATGGACCAGGAGGTCACAGTTCGATTCCCAGTCAGGCTATATGCCTGGGTTATGGGCTTCAACCCCAGTAGGGGATGTGGAGGAGGCATCCAGTCAATGATTCTCTCTCTCATTGATCTCTCTCTCTCTCTCTCTCTCTCTCTCTCTCTCTCTCTCTCTCCCTCTCTTTTCCTCTCAAAAATCAATAAAAATATTTCAAAGAATAAGAAGAGATATAAATACCAATTGAAGAATAATTACAAGGAATAAACAAAATCCCGTGCTTGCAAAAGGTTCAACAACTGCAACAACAAGAAGAGATCCAGATGTAATTGGACTCAAGAAACTCCCAGAGACACTAAAGAGTAAAATCAATTGTCATGTGACATCACAGAAACGTTCTCATTTATGATTAAATGCTGGGATGTGCTATGACAATAATTCTGAGGTTGGCGTCTATGCACAGGGAGAGGAGAGCTGCTCCTAACTCTACTGTGTATCAGCACCTACAGATGGGAGACCAGAAGCTCAGGTGGTGACCAGGTAACTTCAGGGCAAGCGGAGGATAAGGGGCCAACTTCGGTCCCTCTCTGGGCTGAGAATGGAGAGAGAGGAGCAGGGGGTGGGGGATGAGTGGGCAGAAGCAACAGAGAGAAAGAAAGAAGGGGGAGGGGAACAAGTCAAATGGGAGAAGCACAGGCAGAAACAAGGGGCCGTCAGTGGGTGTGTATTATTGTTTATTTCTGTATCTTATGTTTTGAGCCATTAAACAGATTGGAAGCCAAGGAGACACACAGCCTCCCAGGGCCCGCCCATTCTCAAAGACAACAAAGAATTTCAGATGCAAACCAACCCAACCTGAGCCCATATTCCCAGCCTCCCCACCTGCCCCAAATCACCCAGGACCTGGGACCAGACACATGGAGACCACGCCCACAGGCCCATCCCCCAGACTGACACACACCAGCTGGTCCTGAACTGCTCACCCTGCCCTGCCTTGCGTTTCCCATGGAAACCCCAACCAAGGCCTTCGGTAGGCTGCCCTGCACCTGCATCTGCTTCCTGAGGAAATCCGGGGCTTCCCGGGCACAGCGGGCCCTCCTCTCAGGAGGTGAAAGGAGTAAAAGTCTTCTCTCCATGGCACTGACTCCCCTTGTGGTCACTCCGTCACTTCCACACACTGAAACCCCACTGGCACATTGGAGGCAGGTGAGTCAAGAACTTCCAGGGAGATGGTGACATGGACGTCCCAGGACGGTCCCTGTAGCCTGGTGTCCACACCTCAGTCCATCTTGAGAGGAAGGGAGGATCCATCAGGAGCTCTGCCCTCCTGTTCCGGGGGCCTCCACACCTGCGGGGCCCACACAGGTGTCAGCTCAGAGACTCCGCCACTTTGGCTCTAACTCCAGGCAGAGCCGGACAGCTCGGCCCCACCTGCACCTCAGGGCCCATCCCTGACCTTCCCCGGGAGAGACAGGCCTGCTCACCTGGTGTAGTAGAGCCAGGTGAGGACGTAGGTGAGGAGGAAGCCAGCCCCCATGAGGGCCCCTCTGATCAGGGTGAGGACCAGGGGCCAGGAGCCCTGCTGCTCCTCAGTCACACATCTGCTGGAGTGCGGGCTGCCTGGGACGACAGAAGGGTGACATATTGTCCAGGACTCGGTCCACCCACAGCCCATCACCTGACCAGGCGGCCGCCCCACACCTGTCCTGCACCTCACTCTGCACAGAGAGGCTGAAGGAGACGTGCTGGGAGCCCTCTGGGTACTGAGCCTGGCAGGTGAACTCCCCTCCGCCTCCAGCCCCACATGGGGCAGCTCCAGGAGCCCTGGTGCTGAGGGCTGGAGGGGCTCAGGGCTTGTTCCTCCAGCACCAGCTCAGGTGACACCACCCACTCCCAGGACTCGGTCTCTCCTCTTCCCACCTCCTCCCAGACCCGCTGTCGGTTCTGTTCAGGCAGGAGAGGCAGGCCCTGTCCTAGCAATCCCCCCTGTCCCCACGCAGCCCCCACCCCCAGCCCCACCCTCTCTCTGACCCACTCCTTCCTCCGTGGCCTCTGCCCACAGCAGGCCCTGACTTGGCAGCAGCAGGACAGAGGCGCCCTGGGTCCCGTGCACATTCCAGGCCTCACAGCTGAGTCTGAGGTCAGGGCTGAGCCCCGTGAGGAGGCTCAGGGAGCTGTTGGTCCAGGGCCCCTCTGAGCTGGAGCTGACCACCTGGGACGCGTTGCCATGGTTCCCCTCCAGCAGCTCCGCCCCCAGCCGCCAGCGCAGGGAGGGGGCCGGCTGGGCCCTGGAGGAGCAGCTGCAGTGCAGACCCTGGTCCTCCCAGGAGCAGGAGGGTCCCAGCAGCTGCGGGGGATCTGTGGGGAGCGAGGAGAAGGGTCGGCGGTGCCTCTAATCTCCCCAGAACCCAGCTGTCCTGCCCCCCGGGGGTCTCCCCACTCACAGACCACGGAGAGGCTGAGAGAGACGCTGTGGGAGCCCAGCGGGTGCAGAGCTTGGCAGGTGAACTCTCCTTCCTGTGCAGGCCCCACGCGAGGCAGCTCCAGGATCGCGGTGCTGGAGATGGGGGTGGCGTTCAGGCCTGGGGACCCCCGGAACCAGCTCAGCTTGGCAGGGGGGTAGCTGTCAGCCTCACAGCGCAGCCTCAAATCCTCGCCTTTCAGGATGGTTAGGGATGTGTTTTGCAGATTCTCAAAGACTTTGGGGAGAACGGTTATGAGGAAGAGAGAGAGAGAGAGAGAGAGAGATGTGTGTGTGGAACCCAGATGCAGGCACCCACACACCAGAGGTTAGGGACTGGGGTGACGCCTTTCATCCTTGCCCTTCCCATGTCTCATCCCATTCAAACTCCTGCTCCCCCCTCTGCCCCACCAGGGCCCCGGGGCAGGTCCCAGCCCAGAGAGGAGGGGTTCTTTCCTACCTGTATCGTTTCTGAAGGAGAAGCCTATGGTGAGGTTCCCTGGGGCATCTGGGATAGAAAGACAGGGCCCCCCTTCAGATGGAAGTCACCCCAATCCCAGGAGGGGCGGTGGGAACTGGGAAGCGGGGAGAGCTGTCCTTCTGGCCCCTCCCCACCTACACACACATCCATGCATGAGTGTTCTCAGGTTAGCTCAGCCTCCAGCACACACACACACACACACACACACACACACACACGCACACACATAGGCCACCTCACTGCCCCCATAGATCCAACCCCCCCTCCAACACTCACAGGAGACATTGAGCCAGATGGTGGTCTGTGTGGTTCACTGGGTCCATTCCCGTTTCACCTGACAGGTGAGGCTGGTGCCATGGTCCCGGGGCCTCGGGGTGAAGGTGAGCACCGAGGAGCTGCGGTTCAGGGGGTCCAGCGAGTCCACAGCGGCTCCCGCCCAGGAGAAGGTGAAACGTTGTCCCCCTTCGCAGGCCCCTGGCAGGCTGCAGGCCAGCTGTGTGGGGCGGCCGGAATCCAGAGGCTCCCGTACACGGATGCGGGGTTTCTCTGTCAGGGCTGCAGGGGAGAAAGGCAGGTGCCTGGGCCCCAGGGGTGAGGACTCAGAGCGGGACCCTGAGAGAGGCCCTGCCTCGGGCTGAGCTCACCCAGGCCCTGTGTCTCTTCCCACCACCCAGGGCCCACAGCCTGGACAGGGAGTGTCCAGTGTCCATTTGCTGCTCTAAGACGGGGTCCCCTGTCCCTGATCCTCTCCGGGGCCCCTGCCGTACCTGTCACCTGCAAATCCAGCATCTTCTCTTGGTAACTAAATCCACCAGAATATCCTATCTCCACTCGGAGGAAGTAGCGTCCTGAGTCGCTCCTCCTGGCGTCTCTGATTTGCAGGGAACACTTGTTGGCTGTGGGGTCCGCGAGGAGGAAGCGGCCTTCAGTCTTTGTATTCTCTGATTTATCTGGGTTGCTGGAGGCCACAGGAGCATTACGGTTTGTGTTGTCCCCCTTCCGGTACCAGTAGGTGTAGAGTTCACTAGGGGAAGACCACGAACTCCACGGGTAGGAGAAGGAGCAGGGCACGTGGACACACAGACCCTCCTGCACTGTCACCGATTCCTGCACTTGGAGCTCATAGCCTGGCGGCTGCTGCAGGGACCCTGGGGGAGGGGGACACAGAGGCTCAGATGCAACCCCCGCACCTCCCACACTTGCCCAGCCCCCCCTCCCTCAGATACTCACCCCCCACAGCAGGGGCAGCAGCAGCAGGGGCACCATGTCTGCCTCTGGCAGGGCAGAGCGGGTCCAGGGCCCTGTGTCAGGGAGGGAAGTGCCCAGCTCTGGGGTGAGGCCTAGGACACCCCAACAGGAAGTCCTGGGGGAGAGACTGTGCCCAGGCTGGAAGGGGAACTTGGCCTCCACAGGAGTTGGGGGGTGGGGTGGCTGAGAAATCTTCCTGTCTCCCCTCCCCCACCCTCACCCTCCATGACCCTGCAGGTAAATATGCTGAGGACCCTAGGGGTTGAGTGGCTTGTCCAGATGTGAATCTGAAAGTGACCCCCTTACAGAGGATGTGTAAGTGGGGAGGGAAGTCGCCCAGGGACCAGCACACTCAGAGCTGGTCCTGGGGACTCGGGGAAAAGGATCACTTTAAACTTTTTTAGACCAAGTGGGAGGAAAAGAGAGGAATTTAGACCCAAGTCCAGTGGAGGGTGGAACCCAGGGTCAAAGCTGAGTGGTAAAGGCTTTGGCTCTGAGGGCTTCTTGGGGACGTGGGACGCACCTGTGTTAGCTCGAGGGTCTGAGTGTCTGAGGGACAGCGAGGGCACACAAGCCCCATCGGAAACGGACGCCCCATTTGGCGGGACCTCAGCACAGCAGCAACGCTGTCGCCTGAAAGTTCATGAAAATCCACCTTCCTGGCCCCTCATCTCTGGGTCCCTGTTCAGAGCCCCACCCAGGCTGATGGGAAGGGATCCCTTTCTGCTCCATCTGTGTCCCAGCCCGGGCATCACAAACCCTGACATTCCATTCCCGCTGCTGGAGCACATAGTGGGGCTTTTGTGTGCCTCGCTGCCCTTGACTGATGGAACCTCAAGGGCGGCACCAGTGAGCGCGGGGGGATGTCAAAGGCCTTCAGGGTAACCTCACAGTCAGCTAGGGATGCAGGAGGCTCCCCTGGAGGGATAGGGGGTGAGCTCAGCAAGCTCCACACCTAACGCAGCAGCACCGGGTCCGAGTCCAGCAAGGCAAGAGCAATAAGTAAAAGCTATGGAAATTCCAAAGAAAACCAAGCTGACTTTCTCCATCAAGGATTGTGTCTATATAGGTAAATCCACACGTACATACAGATACATGTAGGGGCTTGAGAAGAGAGTCAGCAAGGTTTCTAGAGACAAAATCACATTGCAAAACTCAAATGCATCCGTATAGCACAGTGATCAACGAAACACAGGATGGTATAAAAGATGTCATGGTCACATCAAAACTTATATCATTCCTGGAATATTCAGAGATGCACATCACAAAAATATACTATGCAATTCCTCAGGGGAGGAAATGATACATCTGTTTGGGAGGACATTACAGGTGGAAATAGATAGCCCTGGCCGGATGGCTCAGTTGGTGGAAGCATCCTCCCTACAGCACATAGGTTGCAGAGTCAATTCCGGTTCAGGGCACATACCTCAGTTTCCATACCAGCTCAGGGCAAGTATGGGAGGCAAACTATTTCTGTTTCTCTCTCACATTGATATCTCTCTCTCTCTCTCTCTCTCCAAGCCACAAAGTATAGACAGAAATGCAGAAGAGGAAATTTCCCCATAACCTGTGCCAGCAAGATGGGCCTCAGGGGCAGAGAAGGGGCCCGGCTGACTCACCTCAGAGCACAAGGCCCATCCTAAAGCAACCCACACGAAGGACTGAGGGAAGGAAGCAACCATTTCACATTCAAGAAGGCCACAGAATTCATCCCAGAGAGAGGAGTGTGTGTGTGTGTGTGTGTGTGTGTGTGTGTGTGTGTGTGTGATTTACAAATAAACTAATGACGAAACTTTTGTGGAGGTGAGACTCACATGACATAAAATCTAATGCTAGTTTTGGGTGTGTGACCTTTGGAGCTGCTTATCACTACACTTCCCCCATCACTCTCTGTACTCGGGCCTACTATGCTCCTTCCCCATACCTTCCTTGTCAGTAGGAATCTAATCTGTGGTTTTGAATATTAATGCCCTGATGCACCAAGCAAAACCCCCACAGGCCTAAGGAGATCTTTCATGGTTCTGTAGGATTGCTGATGTGGAGTCTGTTTTATATGACTTCGTTGGCCATTTGTACATCATCTTTGGAGAAATGTCTAGTCAAGGTTTAGCTCATTCTTCAATTGTGTTATTTGGGTTTTTATGTTGTCTTGTATGAATTTGTAATGTCTCTCTCTTTTCTTTTATCTTTTCTGTTTGTTTGTTTGTTTGTTTGTTTGTTTCCTTAATCCTCACCCAAAAATATTTTTTTCATTGAATTTAGAGAGAGTGATAGAGAGGGAGGGAGCGGGAGCGAGAGACTTCCAACTTCCAGGTCTTTGAGCAATAAATCCGTGCTATTTATAAACCACCAGTTTATGGTCTTTTGTTAAAATATCTGAAAAAGTCTAAGACATACGACCTTTTATTTCAAAAATATATTTTATAGATTTCAGAGGAAGGTAGAAGGATAGAGACATGGAAACATCAATGATGAGAGAGAATCATTGATCGGCCTCCTCCTGCGGACCTCATTCTTGGGATGGATCCTGCAGCCAGGAATGGCACTGTGCTCTCATGGTTCATAGGTTGACACTCAACCACTGAGGCACGCCAGCTGGCCATGACCTTTTCTAGTGTATTTATCCACCAATGGATATTTGGGTTGCTGACAGATGTTGAGTAATATGAATAATGCTGCTATAAATATGGGAATGTAGGTATCATTTTGAGGTCCTGCTTTCAGTGTTTTTGGGCATGTAACCTCAAGAGGGGTTGTTACATAATACGGTAATTCTATCTTTAATTTTTGGAGGAACTGCCATATTGTTTCCATAGCCGGCACACCCTCTTACAATCCCACCAAGTATGTGGAATGGTTCCCATTTTGGGACATGCTCACCAGCGCTTGTTATTTTCTGTGCTTTCATTCCTTAGTGGCCATCCTACAGGGTGTGAGGTGATCTCTCATTATAGTTTTGATTCATTGGTTGATTGTTGTATGTGCCCCAACCAGGATGGACATGGAAAACTGGGTGTATCAGAAAGACACTAACCAACTGAGCCACACAGGCAGGGCTTTCATGTGAAGTTCTGTAGGATTACTGATGTGGAGTCTCCCTTCATGACTTTGTTGGCCATTTGTACATCATCTAGTCAAGGTTTTAGCCATTTCTTCAATTGTGTTATTTGGGTTTCTTATGTTGTCTTGTGTGAGTTTGTAATACATGCTGGATATTAACTCCTTAACAGATACAGTTCCTCTCCCATCCTGTAGGTGGCCTCTGGAGTCTGGTGAGAGTGTCCTTTTGTGCTCAGGTTTTGAAGTTGGTACAGTCCCACTTGTCTATGTTTGCTTCCCTTGTCTGTGCTTTTGGTGTAAATACGCAGGAAATCATTGCAAAACCCAATGTCCTAGGTTTTCCCCCTATGTTTTCCTCGAAGAGTTCTAAATTATGGGTATTATATTTAGGTCTTTAATACATTTTTAGTTCATTTTTCATAGAGGAAAGTGATTATGTGATGGAAACCTAGAACTGAATGAGGGAAGCATAACTGTGAGGGTTATTTTTCAAAATAGTCATTGTTTACCTGCAGTGTGTTCTCACAGTGGAATCTAAAGAAGTTGGACTCACAGAAAGAGAGTAGAACGGTGATGCTGAGCTAGAGGTGAGGAAATGGGGAAATGTTGGTCTAGGATACAAACTTTCAGCTACAAGATGAATAATTCCTGGGGATGTACTGGACAGCATGATGACTACAATTAACAGGATTGTATTATATTCCTGAAAGTTTTTATGGTTATACATCATCAGTGTTATAACCATAAAAATGGTAATTACATGAGAGGATGGAGGTGTTGATGACCCTTATTGTGGTAATCACTTCACTATGTAGGTGCATCAAATATGCACATTGCATACCTTAAACTGCCATCCATTCTATATCAAAAATATCTCAGTTAATCTGGAAATAAAATAATTGTTTACATCCAAGTAATTATTAATGTTCTCTGAAGTTTATCAAATTTATAGCTGTAAGCTATATGCAATAACAATACAAAATGGAAAGAGTATAGGTGGATGTGTCTTAAATGTTGAAATTTGTTATTATTCAATGATAGATATAGTCCAGCCGGTATGGCTAAGGGATTGAACATTAATCTATGAACCAAGAGGTCAGGGTTTGACTCCTGGTCAGGGCACATGCCTGAGTGACAGGCTTCATCCCATTTGAGAACGTAGAAGAAACAGGCCATGAATGACTCTCGCAAAATTGATATTTCTATCGCTCTATCTCCTTCCAACTTCCTCTCAGAAATCAATACAAATATTTAAAAAAAATAAGAAGAGATAAATACCAATTTAAGAATAAGTACAAGGAATAAACAAAATCCCTTACTTGAAACAGGTCTAACAGCAGCAACAACAAAAAGAGAAGATCCAGATATAACTGGACTCAAGAAACTCCAACCGACACTAAATAGTAAAATCAATGGTAATGTGATATCACGGAAATGATCTCATTTATGATTAAATGCTGGGATGTGTTATAACAGTAATTCTGAGGTTGGCGTCTATGCACAGGGAGAGGAGAGCTGCTCCTAACTCTACTGTGTATCAGCACCTACAGATGGGAGACCAGAAGCTCAGGTGGTGACCAGGTAACTCCTGGGAAAGGGGAGGATAAGGTGCCAACTTCAGTCCGTCTCTGGGCCTGAGAATGGAGAGAGAGGAGGAGGGGGTGGGGGATGAGTGGGCAGAACCAACAGAGAGAGAGAAAGAGGCGGGAGGGGAACAAGTCAAATGGGAGAAGCACAGGCAGAAACAAGGGGGCCGTCAGTGGGTGTGTATTATTGTTTATTTCTGTATCTCAGGATGTTTTGAGCCATTAAGCAGATTGGAAGCCAAGGAGACACAGGGCCTCCCAGGGCCCGCCCATTCTCAGAGACAGCAAAGAATTTCAGATGCAAACCAACCCAACCTGAACCCGTATTCCCAGCCTCCCCACCTGCCCCAAATGACCCAGGACCTGGGACCAGACACATGGAGACCACGCCCACAGGCCCATCCCCCAGACTGACACACAGCAGCTGGTCCTGAACTGCTCACCCTGCCCTGCCTTGTGTTTCCCATGGGAAACCCAATCAAGGCCTTCGCTAGGCTGCTCTGCACCTGCATCTGCTTCCTGAGGAAATCCGGGGCTTCCCGGGCACAGCGGCCCCTCCTCTCAGGAGGTGAAAGGAGTAAAAGTCTTCTCTCCATGGCACTGACTCCCCTTGGTGTCACTCAGTCACATCCACACACTGAAACCCCAGGGGCACATTGGAGGCAGGTGAGTCAAGAGCTTCCAGGGAGAAGGTGACGTTGACGTCCCAGGATGGTCCCTCTCGCCTGGTGTCCACACCTCAGTCCCATCTTGAGAGGAAGGGAGGATCCATCAGGAGCTCTGCCTCCTGTTCCGGGGGCCTCCACACCTGCGGGGCCCACACAGGTGTCAGCTCAGAGACTCGGCCACTTTCGCTCTAACTCCAGGCAGAGCTGAACAGCTCGGCCCCACCTGGACCCCAGGGCCAATCCCTGACCTTCCCCGGGAGAGACAGGCCTGCTCACCTGGTGTAGTAGAGCCAGGTGAGGACGTAGGTGAGGAGGAAGCCAGCCCCCATGAGGGCCCCTCTGATCAGGGTGAAGACCAGGGGCCAGGAGCCCTGCTGCTCCTCAGTCACACATCTGCTGAAGGGCTGGCTGTCTGGGGATGACGGGAGAAGGGTGACGTGTTGTCCAGGTGTCAGTCCACCCACAGCCCAACACCTGACCAGGCGGCCGGCCCACACCATCCTGCACCTCACTCTGCACAGAGAGGCTGAAGGAGAGGAGCTGGGAGCCCAGCAGGTGAACTCCCCTCCACCTCCAGCCCCCACGTGGGGCATCTGAGATAGAAAGATAGGGCCCCACTTCAGATGGAAGTCACCCCAATCCCAAGGAGCACCAGTGGGAACCAGGAAGGTGGGAGAGCTGTTCTTCTGGCCCCTCCCCACCTACATGCAGATCCATGCCCGGGTGTTCTCAGGATAGCTCAGCCTCCTGCACACACACACACACACACACACACACACACACACACACACACGCACGCCACTCCCTTGCCCGCATGGACTCACCCACCCCTCCAACACTCACAGGACACATTGAGCCAAATGGTTCTCTGCGTGGACAACAAAGATCCTCGGACCTGAACCTGACAGGTGAGGTTGGTGTCATGGTCCTGGGGCCTCGGGGTGAAGGTGAGCACCGAGGAGCGGAGGGTCTGGGGGTCCAGCGAGTCCACAGCAGCTCCCTCCCAGGAGAAGGTGAGAGGTCGTCCCCCTTCACAGGCCCCTGGCAGGCTGCAGGCCAGCTGTGTGGGGCAGCCGGACTCCAGGGGCTCCCTCATCCGGATGTGGGGTTTCTCTGTCAGGGCTGCAGGGGAGAAAGGCAGGTGCCTGGGCTCCAGGGGTGGGGACTCAGAGCGGGACCCTGAGAGAGGCCCTGCCTCGGGCTGAGCTCACCCAGGCCCTGTGTCCCTTCCCACCACCCAGGGCCCACGGCCTGGACAGGGAGTGTCCAGTGTCCAGTTGCTCCTCTAAGATGGGGTCCCATGTCCCTGGGTCCCCTCCATGGCCCCTGCCTTACCTGTCACATGCAAATCCAGCATCTTATGTAAGTAACTATATCTCACAGAATTTCCTCTCTCCACTCGGAAGTAGTAGCGTCCTCTGTCACTCCACCTGGCGTCTCTGATTTGCAGGGAACAGTTGTTGGTTGTCGGGTCCGCGATGAGGAAGCGGCCTTTGGTCTCACTCTTCACTTCTTTATCTGGGCTGCTCGAGGCCACAGGATGGTTTATGTTGTCCTTGTACCGGTACCAGTAGGTGTAGACTTTGGTAGAGGAAGACCCCAAACTCCACGGGTAGAAGGAGCAGGGCACATGGACACACAGACCCTCCTGCACCGTCACCGATTCCTGCACTCGGAGCTCATAGCCTGGCGGCTGCTGCAGGGACCCTGGGGGAGGGGGACACAGAAACTCAGATGCAGCTCCTGCCCCTCCCCCACCGGCCGACCCCCCTCCCTCAGTCACTCACCCCCCCACAGCAGGGGCAGCAGCAGCAGGGGCACCATGTCTGCCTCTGGCAGGGCAGAGCGGATCCAGGTCCCTGTGTCAGGGAGGGAAGTGCCCAGCTCTGGGGTGGGGCCTAGGACACCCCAACAGGAAGTCCTGGGAGAGAGACTATGGCCAGGCTGGAAGGGGAACTTGGCCTGCACTGGAGTTGGGGGGTGAGGTGGTGGCTGAGAAATCTTTCTGTCTCTCCTCCCCCACCTGACCCTGCAGGTAAATGTACTGAGGCCCCTGAGGCGTGTCCAGATGTGAATCTGAAAGTGACCCACTTCCAGAGGAGGTTTAAGTGGAGAAGGAGGTCGCCCAGGGGCCAGCACACTCAGACCTGGTCCTGGTGACTCGGGCAGGGGGGGGCGGGGGGGGAGGAGGACCTGCCCTCCAGCTGGAACTGTCGAACATTCTTGAAAATGATCACTTTAATAGTTTTTTAGACCAAGTGCTGGCAAAAGAGAGAGGATTTTAGACCCAATTCAGTGGAGGGTGGTTGAACCCAGGGGCAAAGCTGAGTGGTAAAGGCCTTTGCTCTGAGGGCTTCTTGGGGACGTGGGACGCACCTGTGTTAGCTTCGAGTGTCTGAGTGTCTGAGGGACAGCGAGGGCGCACAAGCCCCATCAGAAACGGACGCCCCATTTGGCGGGACCTCAGCACAGCACCAGCGCTGCCCCCTGAAAGTTCATGAAAATCCACCTTCCTGGCCCCTCATCGCTGGGTCCCTGTTCAGAACCCCACCCAGGCTGATGGGAAGGGATCCCTTTCTGCTCCATCTGTGTCCCAACCCGGGCATCACAAACCCTGACATTCCATTCCCGCTGCTGGAGCACATAGTGGGGCCTCTGTGTGCCTCACTGGCCCTGGACTGATGGGATCTCAAGGGAGGAACCAGTGAGCGCGGGGGGATGTCAAAGGCCTTCAGGATAACATCACAGTCAGCTAGGGATGCAGGAGGCTCCCCTGGCGGGATAGGGGGTGAGCTCAGCAAGCTCCACACCTAACGCAGCAGCACCGGGTCCGAGTCCAGCAAGGGAAACACAATAAGTAAAAGCTATGGAAATTCAAAAGAAAACCAAGCTGCCTTTCTCCATCAAGGGTTGTGTCTATATAGGAAAATCCACACGTACATACAGATACATGTAGGGGCTTGAGAAGAGAGTCAGCAAGGTTTCTAGAGACAAAATCACATTGCAAAATTCAAATGCATTTCATAGCACAGTGACCAACAAAAAACAGGATGGTACAAAAGATGTCATGGACACATCAAAACTGACGATGTTCCTGGAATATTCAGAGATGCACATCACAAATATATACTATGCACTTCCTCAGAGGAGGAAATGATACATCTGCTTGGGAGGACATTACAGGTGGAAATAGATAGCTCTGTCCGGATGGCTCTTTTGGTGGAAGCATCGTCCCTACAGCACATTGGTGGCAAGTTCAATTCCGGGTCAGGACACATCCCTAGGTTTCCATACCAGCTCAGGGCAAGTATGGGAAGCAACCGGTTTATGTTTCTCTCTCCCTTTCTCTCTCTCCCTCCAAGCCACAGGGTATACACAGAAATGCAGAAGAGGAAATTTCCCCATATCCTGTGCCAGGCAAGATGGGCCTCAGGGACAGAGAAGGGGCCACGCTGACTCACCTCAGAGCACAAGGCCCATCCTAAAGCAACCCACACGAAAGAACTGGGGGAAGGAAGCAACCATTTTCACATTCAAGAGGGGCCACAGAATTCATCCCAGAGAGAGAACTCTGTGTGTGTTTGTGAGAGAGAGAGAGAGAGAGAGAGAGAGAGAGAGAGATTTCCAAATAAACTAATGATGAAACTTTTGTGTGGGTGAGACTCACATGACATAAAATTTCTAATGCTAGTTTTGGGTGTGTGACCTTTGGAGCTGTTTATCACTACACTTCCGCCATCACTTTCTGTACTGCGGGCCTACTATGCTCCTTCACCATACCTTCCTTGTCCGTGTAGGAATCTGATTTGGGGTTTTGAATATTAATGCCCTGATGCACCAAGCAAAACCCCTACAGGCCTAAGGAGTTCTTTTATGGTTCTGTAGGATTGCTGATGTTGCGTCTCTCTTCATGACTTTGTTGGCAATTTGTACATCATCTTTGGAGAAATGTCTGGTCAAGGTTTAGCCCATTCTTCAATTGTGTTATTTGGGTGTGTTATGTTGTCTTGTATGAGTTTGTAATGTCTCTCTCTTTTTTTATCTTTTTTGTTTGTTTGTTTCTGTAATCCTCACCCAAAGATACTTTTTTCACTGAATTTAGAGAGAGTGAAAGAGAGGGACTGAAGAGGGAGAGAGAGACTTCCAGCATCCAGGTCTTTGAGCAATAAATTCCTGCTACTTATAAACTACCAGTCTACGGTCTTTTGTTAAAACATCCAGAACAGTCTAAAACTTACAACTTCTTATTTCAAATATATTGTTATTGATTTCAGAGAGGAAGAGAGAAGGACAGGGAAATGGAAACATCAATGATGAGAGAGAATCACTGGTCGGCCACCTTCTGCATGCCCGACACTCAGGATGGATCCCACAACCAGGAATGGAACCGTGATCTCATGGTTCATAGGTCGACACTCAACCACTGAGGCACACTAGCTGGCCATGGCCTTTTCTAATGCATTAATCCACCAATGGATATTTGGGTTGCTGACAGATTTTGAGTAATATGAATAATGCTGCTATAGATATGGGAGTGCAGATATCTTTTGGAGGTCCTGTTTTCAGTTCTTTTGGACATATAACCTCAAGAGAGGATGGTCCATGATATGGTAATTCTATATTTAATATTTAGAGGAACTGCCATATTGTTTTCAACAGCGGGTACACCCTCTTACAATCCCACCAAATGTGCTGAATGGTTCCAATTTTGGCATCTGCTCACCAGCGCTTGTTATTTTCTGTGGTTTCATTTCTTAGTGTCCATCCTACAGGGTGTGAGGTGATCTCTCATTACAGGTTTTGATTCATGCCTTCCTTCGTTGATTGTTGTATGTGCCCCGACCAGGATGGAACCGGCAAACTGGGTGTATCAGGAAAACACTAACCAACTGAGCCACCCAGCCAGGGCTTTCATTTGTAGTTCTTTCGTTTTACTGATGTTGCGTCTCTCTTCATGACTTTGTTGGCCATTTGTACATCTTCCTTGGAGAAATATCTATTCAAGCTTTTAGCGTTTTCTTCAATTGTGTTATTTGGGTTTCTTATGTTGTCTTGTGTGAGTTTGTAATAGATGCTGGAGATTAACCCCTCACCAGATACAGTTCCTCTCCCATCCTGTAGGTGGCCTCTGGAGTCTGGTGAGAGTGTCCTCTTGTGTTCAGGTTTTGAAGTCCGTACAGTCCCACTTGTCTATGTTTGCTTTCCTTGTCTGTGCTTTTGATGTAAAACCCAATGTCACAGGCTTTCCCCCTATGTTATCCTCTAAGAGTTTTATACTTTTGTGGGTATTATATTTAGGTCTTTAATACATTTTGAGTCCATTTTTGCACAGAGGAAAGTGATTTTGTGATGGAAACCTAGAACTGCATGAAAGAAACATAACTCTGAGGGTAATTTTTTTTTCAAAATAGTCATTGTTTATCTGCAGTTTGTTCTCACGGTGGGATCTGAAGAAGCTGAACTCACAGAAATAGAGTAGAATGGAGATGCAGGGCTGGGGGTGAGGAAATGAGGAGATGTTCGTCAAGGATACAAACTTTCAGCTACAAGATGAACAATTCCTGGGGAGGTCTTGGACAGCATGATGACTACAATGAACAGGATTGTATTACATACATGAAAGTTGTTATGGTTATACATCATTCATAGTATAATCATAACAATGGTAATTACATGAGAGGATGAAAGTGTTAATGAACCTTATTGGGGTAATCACTTCACTATATAAGTGTATCAAATATGCACATTGCACACCTTACGCTTGCATGCATTCTGTTTAAAAAATATCTCTATAAAACTGGAAATAAAATAATTGTTTACATCTAAGTACTTATTAATGTTCTCTAAAGTTTATCAAATTGATAGATGTAAGATATATGAACGTAATAATGCCCAATGGTGAGAGATGTGTCTTAAATGTTGAATTTTTTTATTATTCATGAGTAGATATAGCCTGGCTGGTGTGGCTCAGGAGTTGAGTGTCAACCTGTAAGCCAGGAGATTACAGTTAGATTCCCAGTCAGGCCACTTGCCTGGGTTACCGGCTTCATCCCCAGGAGAGAATATGGAGGAGGCATCCAATCAATGATTCTCTCTCATCATTGATATTTCTATCGCTCTCTCTCCCTCCAACTTCCTCTCAGAAATCAATAAAAATATTTTTAAAAAATAAGAAGAGATATAAATACCAACTGAAGGATAATTACAAGGAATAAACAACATCCCTTATTTGCAACAGCTTCAACAACAGAAAGAGGAGATGGAGATGTCATTGGACTCAAGAAACTCCCACAGACACTGCAGAGTAAAATCGATGGTCATGTGACACCATATAAATGTTTTCATTTATGATTAAATGCTGGAATGTGTGATGACAATAATTCTGAGGTTGGCGTCTATGCACAGGGAGAGGAGAGCTGCTCCTAACTCTACTGTGTATCAGCACCTACAGACGGGAGACCAGAAGCTCAGGTGGTGACCAGGTAACTCCTGGGCAAGGGGAGGATAAGGTGCCAACTTCAGTCCAACTCTGAGCTGAGAATGGAGAGAGAGGAGCAGGGAGTGGGGGATGAGTGGGCAGAACCAACAGAGAGAAAGAAAGAGGGGGGAAGAGGGGACAAATCAAATGGGAGAAGCACAGGCAGAAACAAGGGGGCCGTCAGTGGGTGTGTATTATTGTTTATTTCTGTATCTCAGGATGTTTTGAGCCATTAAGCAGATTGGAAGCCAAGGAGACACAGGGCCTCCCAGGGCCCGCCCATTCTCAGAGACAGCAAAGAATTTCAGATGCAAACCAACCCAACCTGAACCCGTATTCCCAGCCTCCCCACCTGCCCCCAATCACCCAGCACCTGGGACCAGACACATGGAGACCACGCCCACAGGCCCATCCCCCAGACTGACACACACCAGCTGGTCCTGAACTGCTCACCCTGCCCTGCCTTGTGTTTCCCATGGGAAACCCAATGAAGGCCTTCGCTAGGCTGCTCTGCACCTGCATCTGCTTCCTGAGGAAATCCAGGGCTTCCCGGGCACAGCGGCCCCTCCTCTCAGGAGGTGAAAGGAGGAAAAGTCTTCTCTCCATGGCACTGACTCCCCTTGTGGTCACTCAGTCACTTCCACACACTGAAACCCCAGGGGCACATGGGAGGCAGGTGAGTCAAGAGCTTCCAGGGAGAAGGTGACATTGACGTCCCAGGACGGTCCCTCTCGCCTGGTGTCCACACCTCAGTCCCATCTTGAGAGGAAGGGAGGATCCATCAGGAGCTCTGCCTCCTGTTCCGGCGGCCTCCACACCTGCGGGGCCCACACAGGTGTCTGCTCAGAGACTCGGCCACTTTGGCTCTAACTCCAGGCAGAGCCGGACAGCTCGGCCCCACCTGGACCTCAGGGCCAATCCCTGACCTTCCCCGGGAGAGACAGGCCTGCTCACCTGGTGTAGTAGAGCCAGGTGAGGACGTAGGTGAGGAGGAAGCCAGCCCCCATGAGGCCCCTCTGATCAGGGTG